TTGTTAATGGAAGAAACCAAGTGTATGTAGTCACTAAACAGCCAGACCATGTTGCCGTCTCTTCTTAATTCTATCTGAGGTTTTTTTGGGGGTTGGCGTTGATCCTGGTTCCCTATGTTGCAGTCATCTAGCTTGATACCCCTTACTCGATCAAGTTGACAAGTGGGGGTGAGTATTGAACTTAGTGCTGCCAACAAATTCTCTATTTGTTGATATTTCTCGGCCATCCGATAGATTCTTATGCCAATAAGTTGGCTAGAGATATGTAATATTCCTTCTAGAGATCTTTCCATAGTTCGATTTGTGGCTTCACCTCAGAGGTCAGGAGTGTCCTCACCGCTTCCTCTAGCGCATCGACCACTTTTCTTTTTCAATTATGAATCTCTTCAGATCTGACATCAGGTTCTCACCCTTTTCTTGGAGGATATTGCTAAAATAACTTATTGGCATAACAAATCTACGTTGAGCTTGGAATTGTTGGAGATATAGCTCGGCAAACTGGCACCAAGAGTAAACTGAATTCGGAAGGAGCCTTGTATACCACCTCTTTGCATCGCCCATAAAGGTGATCGTAAAGCATTTGCACTTATCCAGGTCGGAGACCTGATGTAACTCTATTAAATCGTTGAAAGCATTAAGGTGGTCTTGAGGGTTGCCTTCCCCGCTGAATTTAATATATAGAGTCTTGAATCCTTTTGAAAGGAGTGCCAAAAGCATTTCCTCAGGAAAGGGGGAGTTGTATGTGATCATCGCATGCTCAATTTTTTAAATTTGCAATTCCTCGAGCATATTCTGCATATCTTCTAACTGCATACCAGCTCAGATGTTGACCAAAAGTGCAACATCTCCCCTGGTCTGGTCAATTTGGTGGCAGAGGTTAGGTCTTGGCGTGTTAAAATGTTGATAGAGATCGAAATTTGGGTTCTGTTGACCCTCGCGATTGGGCGCGTTGGCATGTGAAGAAGAATCGAAGGAACTAGGATAGTACGGGCTGTCGAAGGTTGATTCTTGGATCCATCATGGTGTTGGCTCAGGCTGGGGTGTTGACCGCACGTGTCGTGGTGGTAAGGGAGGACATTCAAGCGAATGAGCATGCTCAGGTGACTTTGCTGTTGTGTTGGGCATGCATGTTCCTATGTGAAAACGAATAGGCTCTCCATGGTTCGTCTCCTCCATTACTGGCTCTTTTTTAAGACACTACCCTGGATGTTCTAGATCTAGCGACCTTAGGGCGGTGGGGCGATTCTGCCATGATCCATTTATAATGTCAGAATAATCTTCGACAGTTACATGTTCCTAGTTAGGAGACGGCGAAACAAAGTTTTACAGGTTTGAAGGTCGTCAACAGTTTGTCCTTCCTCAAATTGGTCACATCCCACTCGAGATTACCGATTGCATGCGTGATTTTTCGGAACATATCTAGGATTTGTGGATTCTGGGGGCCAGAGGTATTTGCGTCTTGATGGTTCTCCCCGAGGAGAAGCGGAATGACTGGTGAGAGATTATTGACACCTCCTTGGGCATTTCCTTGGCCTTCCGTCGTGAGGGCGTCAATTTGACTTACGTCGGTTTGGCTCTTGGTAGCTCTTGTTCGTCGCACCATTTTTGTCAGAATGTGGCGACCAACTCGGTGGTAATTGTCTTGAATTGCTGTTGAAATAGGGGTCAACTAGAGTGTTCAATTTGGGCCCCTTCTAGTGCCAGATGTTGATGCGATTTTCCACACCAGCCTAAATGCCGAGGGTGAAAACACGCATCAACCAAGGATACTCAGTTGACTCTCGGGAGAACCAAGCATGATGGGTGCGTGGTTCTTGTGAACCAACGAAAGGGGTGCGTATGATTTGGACGAGAGTGGAGCTGTGTCTAGACGATGTGACAAATCACAAAAAAAAAGAGAGAAACAATTTTTTTAAGTGGTTCTGTCGAGTAATGGAATCAGGCCTACGTGCACTGTTTCTTTTATAAGAGAATGATTACAAAGTTTATCTCAATGAGATGACTACAACTGATTGACTATTTTTTCTCTGAATTCCTTTATTCCTAAGCCCTCTACCTTCGGATCTTCGAAAACCCCTCTTTTTCAGGATTGTAATTGGGTATTTATAGGAGTCTTCGATTGCAGTAGCTAGTGGAAGTTGGCGTCAACAGAATGATTATCGTCTGTTCTAACACCAATTAGGTGATCGAGGAGGTCAAGCTATCATTGTGTTTAGAGGTGATTACAGGTATGGTTAGTCAGAGTTTGTCAGAGAGTTTAGCGGTGGTTCAGGCCAAGCAGTTGCATGTACTACACGTGGTGCTCATGCGGTTTGGCAGGCTTGTTAGGTGTCGCGCTTAGTGTTAACCTCTCGACACCTGGCTTTCCAGTTACAAGTTTTGTCGTGGGCTTCAAGTAAACTTCCTGTTCAGATGATTGAGTACGGTATGTGAGCTAGGATCCTCAGGTCTTTTCTAGGCTCGAGGTAGGTCAGATTTTCCTGCACAACAACCCCTTATTGGTGGATTGATTGTTGATTTGTTGGAGTGGATTTGTTTGTTTGTGATTTCTAGAGTTGATTGGTTGATTTTCGGAGTGTTTTGGCTTGTTGTTCGACGGTAGTGGCGGCAGTGGCAATAGCTGGGTGGTTGGAGACAAGGATGATGTGAAGGTTGAAGAAAATAGTGTTATTGAAATAAATTTGAAAGTAAGGTGGTTATTTTTCTAATTCTATTAATTTTGGGGTTAAAAAGTAACTTACTAATTTATTATTTACTGGTTACCAAAAAAAATAATTTATTAATTTATTTGTCAAGGACAATAAGGTAATAGAACCTTTTACACCTTTATCGGAATCTAAAAATGGCTAATGGTATTGGTTTAAGGGTAGGAATTTAGAATTTTTGAAACTAGGTGTGAAAACTTATCATTTCGCCAAATCTTGCGAACATGTCATTTAGAGGTTTACTCTTAAAACAATTAATAAAAGGAATAATTGATAAATTAAAGAGTCTATTAAGAGCAAGTTTACTAAATTATTTTTCACAATAATTTATTTATAAAATGTGCCTTGTTACTACTTAACTTTAAACAGTGAAATAAACAAATAAAATAAATTTACAATTGAATCTTAATAATAATATTCCCTGATTAGTCGAATTTAGAGATATCTTATGTGAAATATTTTCTGGAGCAACAATTATAAAAGTCACTAATTAATGTTGAAATCTCTTAATTCAATCCAGAATTGGATAATATCTAAGTAAAAAATAATAGTGTTCTTGATCTATGAAAAAGCTGCCACAATTTTATAATTTTTCTTTTAGTAAAGAAGCTGCATTGCAAATCATGGTTATTAGTATCCTAAATTATGCGATACATATCATACGATAAGATTTGATACGGATCGTCAATGATATGTATTAGAGAATGTATCATAAATCTTTCTAAACCTTTTGATACGTTGATATGTATCTTATGATACGATACATATCAGTTTATATTCTTAAAAATATTGATACGATTTTATTAATTTTGGTTAAGGGCCCAAAAAAAAATTCAGGTCGGATCTAGGTCACCCAACCCGGTTCACTAAAACCCGTCCAAATTTACCCATTTTATATAGAGAAATTGAAGAAGAAGATGTGTTCCCATTTTACATGATAATAATAGCACAAGTGGAGATATAGATATTGACATTGATCTTAGAATGATATGAATGGTTGAAATGAAATAATATGTGTGTGTTTGTTTTATTATTTTGAATAGTATTTTCAAAATATTATTGTTAAGTTGAGTTAGGTTATTATTAAGAGGTAGGATTTGAAAATTAACAAAAAAAACCCCTAGGTTAGTTAATTTAGCTAAACACCTCTAATAATAAAAAGTTTATAAATTTATAAAAACACCCCCACTCACCCACAGTTGCTAGATTTTGGCCACCACTGCCGAAATCTGGTGTCATTGTGTACGATTGGCCAGATCTGGCCAGTTGTGCGCTGCTATGGCCTTTTCTGGCTAGATCCACCATGGATTTGGTCAAAAAATGTCACATCTGGCCATCAACGACATCTATATATTAGTTGTCATTGACGGCCAGATTGACACACTACCTACCAGATCCAGCCAGTAGTGTGCTATTACGTCAGATTTTAGCCACCTTCCGACGATGGTTGCTAGAATTTGACAAATATGGGTGGGTGAGGTATTTTTGTCAATTTATAAAAAAATTTATTATGGGTGTTTAGTTAAATTAACAAACCTATGGGAGTTTAAATAGTTGAATATTATAGGATATGATTTTGAGAATAAGGAAACAATCATGCATTTTTTTTAGAATAAGAATAGATTATTTTGAAAAAAAAAAAGAAAATAAACACACCATAAATTCTTAATTTTATGATTAATTTTGATTATTTAATACCATAATTTAAAGTCTATAAAATCAATTAATTTTGGAGATGAGAGAAAAGTTATTATTTTTTTAAAAATATATTTTACTATACAATACACAATTCAAAAAAAATTCAGCTTTTAATATACGTCTACTGATTTGACACCCATACTGCAGTTACATAATGGGATAATATTTAAAGCTTGAGAACTGAGGTGGTTAATGATTTAGCATTATAAGATAAAGAGGGAAGCACATGATTTCAGCACCCTTAATTTTTAAATTGTTTGAAATATTCAAATACTGGTTGCTCACTCCATTCCATCATCCATCCACAGAAAACAAAGAAAACACTGGCTCTGTGTCTGTGTCTGTCTCTGTCTCTGTCTTTCTCTCACCTGCTCGTACTGAAATTTGTCATACTTTCCCCATTTCCGGATAAGGCCAATCCTGCCAAACCATATCCAATTTGCTCAGAAATTGAAAATTACTTCCACAGAAAGAAACTTGAGAAATCAAAAACAAAAAATAAAAACAAAATGAAAAACAATTTTGATAAAAGAAAAAAACAATAATAAAGTGAATAGGATAAGAATACCTCGGAGTGAGAGAGGGAATTATCCTTATCCATCACACTGAGATACAGCACACTTTACACAATAAAAGATAACATATTGATGCCAACTTACACTTCACACTCAACCTTATAAATAACATGAACAAGTTTCTGTGTAGGATCATCACCATCTGTGAAATCAGTAATCAAATTTTTTGTTAATTTATTCAAACATGTTGGCAATTTTCCACGAGGCGTTTGCTAACCCACCTGAGGAGCTCAACAGTCCCGCATCTCACAATGGTTCCAAGAGGCCTAAACTTCCTGAAGAAACTCTCCAGGACTTCCTTTCTCATCACCCTCTCAACACTTGCACCATGAACTTTGGCCATGCAGCTGTTCTTGCTTATGTGCGCCCTGAAACTCCTTTCCCTCCTCATCAAAGGTATCTCAAAATTCATCACCGCTGTTATGTTTCTTATCGTTAAGCGATCGATTGTTTAACATGAATGATTTTGCAGGTTGTTTTGTGGGTTTGATGATATATATTGTGTGTTCCTGGGGAGCTTGAACAACTTGAACTCACTCAATAGGCAGTATGGTTTGGCAAAGTCAAGCAATGAGGCGATGTTTTTAATTGTTGCATATCGAACCCTTCGCGACAGAGGTCCATACCCGGCTGATCAGGTTGTTAAGGATCTTGAAGGAAGCTTTGCTTTTGTTGTTTATGATAGCAAGACTGGTACTGTCTTTGCTGCACTGGTATGTAAATATCATCTATTTTATATATTGTTCAGAAATTGGAATTTGAACAAGTGGGGAATAAATAGTTCGTGAATTTGTTTTTAAATTGTTGCAGGGTTCTGATGGTGGAGTTAAACTCTACTGGGGTATTGCAGCTGATGGCTCTGTGGTGATTTCTGATGATTTAGAGGTCATAAAAGCCGGCTGTGCCAAGTCATTTGCTCCTTTTCCCACAGGTACTGGTGAAAAACCATTTTTGTCATCATGAGTTTGGTTATAGATAAAGTTAACCATATTTGACTTTTTTACATAAAGATGAAAAATGAAGTGGGTCTGATATCAATGGTGGTGATGATGCAGGATTCATGTTTCACAGTGAGGGAGGATTGATGAGCTTCGAGCATCCAATGAACAAGATCAGGGCAATGCCGAGGATAGATAGTGAAGGAGTTCTGTGTGGAGCCAATTTCAAGGTTGATGTTTACACAAGGGTCAACAGCATTCCGAGGGTAGGGAGTGAAACTAACTGGACTCACTGGGACCCACATTAAACGACTGTCATTTGTCCACCCATTGCACTGAAATCACTAGCTCTTTTTTATTTTTATTTTGCCTTCAAATAATAAGACCAAAAGTTTTGTAGGTTTTTTCCTTGTTTTGAATTTCTATTGCCACTGTTATTATGTACATAGTGATTATTCATTTTCAGAATCAATCTTGTGTTGTAATCTGCCAACAGTATAAAGACCAGCAACAATGTCATACAAACACTACAGAAAAGGTTAAATTGAAAGGAAAACTTATTTCACATTTTTTTCTCTAGTTATCCATCAGCCTTTCCTCTCCAAACTGAAAAAAGGAATGGCCTTAAATCTCCTGTTTTTCTAAGAAAAAAAATTAATCATTCATTCATGCTGTCAACAAGAATAAGAATCAAAACACAGATGATGCCACAATGAACAACAGCATAGTAAAAACTTATATGAAAAAAGATAATCAACTGAGAGTGATAAATTATCTGTCAAAAATGGCAAGAAAATTGACAAAATTTTCCATTTTATACTGGATACAAGCTGATTTTAAGTATAATAGATTTCATCCACCATTGAAAAGGTCATGATAAATTTCATTCTTTCCACATATCAGCATATTCATCAGGCTCCAATGGATTTGCAAGCTGGTGCATCTTTCTCCTAGTTTTAGCTTTAACTTTCTTTGCATACTTCCCAGCCTTCTGCCTTTTCTCCAAAGCTCGAATCTGAACAATATCAAAATGAGAAGAATATGCATTAATATTGGCAATAATTTGAAAAAGGTACAATCAAGGTGAGATGAGATTACGAACAAGAACATTCAAAATCGAAAAAGTTAGTAAATGATGCCGAATGGTGTCTACATGTAACATTTTCAAGGGCATTACATTATACTTGAAAGAATCCATGACAGTTTGGAGGATTATTTAACCATGAAGAAATTTAATAGATTAAAGCCCCAACAATACACAATTTAAAATCAGCTAACCTGGTTTGGGGAAACATAAAATGGATTCTCATACAGTGTTGGGCCTCCAAAGCTGCCACCAAATATCTTGATTGGATTCAAACAAAATCTTGGACCAACCTGTGAGAACATTTTCCATATTAACCACCATCTCAAGTACTCGACCATACAAATTACTCAAAAGGCATATCACAAGAAAAACCTCGACAAGAGTCATTTTATCGAGGCCTCCTCGAGCCACTTTATCTGATTCATTATGAGGAACAGTTATCTGTAGACAGAAGCAAAGAGAACAACGAAATCATGAGAAACAATTTCATCAAAAACGAAAGCTTCATAACTTTGAGCGATTAAAGAAACAAATTGTTAATAGCATTTATAAAAGTTCAATTTTATCATTTTCAACATGTGAGCAAAGAAGTGGCTCATCTCAGACAAGAAAATTTGACTATAAAAACCATGCATAATCTTCAATTTTGAGAATATTACCAACCTGATAATTCCGGAACCATACGTGATCATCAACAATGGAAAAAGCAAACACATGATCATAATAAGGCTTAGATTTCCTGTGTTCCTTTGGAGTTCCAAATATCTAAGCAAGAAAAGAAAGTGTCAGCATATATTCAGATTTAAATAGAAATACCACAAAAAAACTATGTTGCAGATAATAATTGTATTTGACAGACAACGATTTCAGAACAAATTTTGTAGTGGAAAATATACAAGTTAAATACAGCCATAATAAAACGTGGTCATACCATCCAGCTATAGAACAAGAATAGAGGTTCATGTTGTTGGTGAAACATGGGTATAAATTTTGGTGAGAAATTGTTAAAAGCATCACATTAATATGGATGTCATGTATACTATAAGTGAAAAAGAAAAAAAGGAAAATCACTATAAAAGTATTCCCAGAGTAAGAAAGTAAATTTGTCCAAATGTGAACAAAGATCAATGGCAAGAAAACTATGCTTGCTTTGAAAGGAGGAAACAAAAACCAAAATACCTGAACGATCATCTCCTTTATAAGCTTCCAGTGAGCATTGTTATCAAAATTGGCTGAGAAAGTCAAGAGAGGACGTGACCCTTTAAGATGGTTTCCAGTAAGCTTCAGTTCCTCCATGGTGTGCACTGAAATGACAAAAAAATGTTTATTGACTACCTCATAGTTTCACATATTAATAACTACAAAGACTAAAATTATAGCTAAAAAATGGGATGTCAATCTCTGCAATGAATTATCCAGAAATGCAAGAATTTATGGCCATAATATGCAAATATTGATTAGAAATGCATGAGACTATTCCTAAAATGCAGTCAGATGCTCTTATGATAATATCATAAAAAATCTAAAGAGAAAATTACCAGCATTTACTAAAAACTTCACAGATGGGCCATTGGGGCTCTTTGCCATCCAAAGATACAGGTCCTTATGTTTCCTGCACTGTAGTAGATAGGTTATAAGAAGAAAGCATTAGGCATCACATTCAAATATATTTTAAAACAAATTTACCCCACACGTTTCAACTTTAAAAATCAAACATTCACTCAAGTTCAGAATAGCATGGTTAGATCTCTTGCCCTGAAGCTATAAGACCCCCTCGTATGAACGTGGTCAAGATCCAATTAATTTATGTTTCAGCAGGGGAATATGGGGGGTGCATGCATGTGCTAATAAAAATAGCAAGCAAAAATCAAACCTGAATTATAAATCATAAAATACATTTTTTACCTGATTTATAAAATAATGACTTGCATCAAAGTATATGGAAATTTCTATAAACTAAAATTATACACGTATCCATCAAATCGTATCTAAGCCAAACATTAAACTTCAGTTCTTCCTTCAAATTATAGGCCACAATCGAGACAATTATCATAAATCTATGCTGAGAAATAAAATTTACGTCCAATACAAGCACTTCATTTTGTGGCATTTAACTTAATTAAGGAGTAGAAGCTAACTTTAAGTCAAATATCCCAACCCAAAAAAAAAAAATAATAAATAAATAAATAAATAAATTGCAACTCACAACGCAAAAAACGAAATTCATAGGAGCATAAATTTACCTCAAAAAACAAGCAGGAAGAACAGCTCTTAAGCTCAACAAGCTCATTCAAAGTAGCACCTTTACTACTTTTAGATTCAACCTTGTTATCCTTCTTACAATGAGGCAAAAGTGACACCACATTTAACATCAAATGCCTATATCTATAAAACACCACAAAATGAAATAAACCCATTAATTATTTCCCCTTTATCACCAAAAAAAAATGAGTTCTTTTAAATTCACTACCCGAGAAAAAATCAACAAAAGCTCTCACCTGAAATTGATTCTGCGTGAACAAGTCACCAAAACCTTTTCTTTGTTTCTAAAGACACCTGGGGCATCGGTTTCTTTGACTTCAGGCTTATCTTTCCAGCCCAAAAGCGTTCTTTTGGGTCGCTCTTCGATAGTGTTATCGTCCTTCTTTGTGGGCTCAACGGCGTTGGTTTCACTGTGCTTTCGCTTCTTCCCCATACTCTAAAAGAATAAAAAGAATGTGAAAGAGTTGAGAAGTGAAGCAAAATTATCAGAAATTAAAGAATAAGATGAGTTTGAAGAGGGTTTTACTTTAATTGGCTGCTGCAGAAGCGAGGGAGAGAGATGTTAAACCCTTGTTAAACCTAGGGCGTAACTCGAGAGGAGAAAGAGGTTCAATGGGTTTGGGCCTTTTAGCAAATAGGTTTATCTTATCGGTCCTTTCTCAGAACTTGGGTATCTATATAGGCCCAACATAATTTTTTTTAATTTAATGTTAAAAATTAAGTACCTTTGAAGAAAAAAATTGATAAAATTTCAAGAATTGAGATATAAAGTTAACAAATTGAATAAAGTGAAATTAACCATAAATGTTAGAAAATTAGAGATTGGGATAATTCAAAAACCCGATATGCTATGCTTATTTATAAGCACCCGTAGGTTTCAAAAATAAAACAATAGCTCTTATTTGGTGAATTTTTCCCGTTAAAAGTTAACTAATAAAAGGTACTGTTGAGATTTCAATGAATCGTGATGGTTGACATTTTAATAAAACTTTTTTTTTTTTTCTTAAATTTCTCTCCCTTTCCCAACCATTCTTAGTGTTATTAGATTTGATTGATCTTTAATAACACCGTGAGATTGAATATAACCTCTAAAAACGTCCACAATTTTAAAAACCAAAATAAGATTGTTCGTATCCAACCTTTAATAGAATCGTAAGGCTAAATTCAACATTTGGTAGTGTTGTGAGGTCGAATTTGACCTCCTGTAACATCGTGTGATCAAATCTAGTATTAAGCGATGTCATTAAAGTCAAACTTAGTATCTTGTGATTGACCTCCAACGACACCATGAGACTTCTATAACCTCTAGTGATATTGCTAAACAGATGCAACCGCAAGGCTAGCTACAACCAAAAAGATAAGGGGTAAAGGTTTAGGGTTTCATGGGTAAAAAAATGTTTCTAAACATAACAGTCTTTTTTTAACGATTTATAAGGGGACGGGGATTAGGGTATTCTCCAAACTTAGAGGTGATTGTGAAAATAGGATATACCTGTAGGGGGTTTTCGAAATTACAGCTATTTAAAAAAAAAAATAAATAAATAAATATTAGTCGGATGACAAAAAATGAGCTGACTCCAAACTCCGCGAACAGGCGACATCTGTCCTATCACACTCACGCTTCACATCCTTCTGGGCCTAAAGTTTCTGCAAAACTCCAAGAGCTTCAACTCCACGCTTCATCAAGCAAGAAGAAGAAGTAACTCTGCTCCAGAGAGATTTCAGCCATGGCTGATCGTTTCTTTCCCAACGAAATACCGCCTGAAACATCACTTACACCACAACAGGACTCTCTCTCCAACCTCCTCTCTCTTCCCTTCACAACTCTTTCAGATAAACTCAAAACTTCAGCTTTCCATCTCAAACAAACCGTACAACTTCCATCATTTTCATTTTCTCTCAAAACTCTCTTCTGGGTTTTGTTTATATGCCCCCAACTGACTTCATTTTTTTTTTTTAATTGTTTAGATTGTTAATGAGATGTGGGGACCGAGTGGAAAGCGTGTGAAAGATTACAGCTTGTACACGGGTGCTCTTGGCACTGCTTATTTGCTGTTTAAAGTTTATCAAGTTACCAAGAGTGAGAATGATCTTAAATTGTGCTCTGACATTGTTAAGGCTTGTGATTCTGCTTCTAAAGATTCCGGGTACTTTCACTTTACTCTTATTTGTTGTGTTCAAATTGTTTAAAAGGTTTAATAAAAATGATCAATTTTACTTAATGCAAGGCTGTAATATAGAAATGAACAAAAAAGTTAGCTTTTTGATGAGTGGAAATGCTCAAATTTGGTGCAAAATTGATGCACCCCATTGAGGTTTAGCTTCTACTTTAGTATTTTGTGCAAATGAGAAAAATTAATGTGTAAGTTTTGCATATGTTGTGAGAATAATTGCAAAGTCAAGCACATGGTATCACAAGGCGGAACAATACTAGCCAAAAACAAATGAAAGAAACAAATACACTGAGCAGGGTTCTTACCATGAGAGATGATTGATCTGATTTTGTTTACATTGTTGTGTGATGCATGGACATAGGCGTGTGACATTCATATGTGGGCGGGCTGGTGTTTGTTCTCTTGGTGCTGTGGTGGCAAAGTATGCTGGTGATGAGCGGCTACTTGAGCACTACATAACACAGTTGAAAGAGGTATTATGGGATACTTTTTCTCTTATCTTGATGACATTGTTCCCTCTTGACTTGAATTGTATTTGTTTGTATTACTTTTGAGATTCAATTTTTCTCCTGAAAGCAGATCAAGCTTCCTAGTGATTTGCCTAACGAGTTATTATATGGGAGAGTGGGGTTCTTATGGGCCTGTTCTTTCTTAAACAAGCATATTGGTAAAGACACGATATCTACTGCCCGTATGGTAAGCTATTTTTGCACATTTTCCTCCAAATTTATTGTAACTAAGAAGATTGAATCCTTTCTCTTATTGATGGGATTTAATGTTTATATAGAGAGCAGTTGTTGATGAAATTATCAAGGCTGGGAGAAGATTGGCTAATAAGGGAAGATGTCCATTGATGTATGAATGGCATGGGAAGAAGTACTGGGGCGCTGCCCATGGCCTGGCAGGGATTATGCACGTTTTGATTGACATGGAATTGAAACCTGATGAAGTGGAGGATGTCAGGAATACGCTTCGCTACATGATAAAGAATCGTTTCTCCAGTGGCAATTATCCTTCAAGTGAAGGAAATGAATCAGACCGTCTTGTGCATTGGTGCCATGGTGCTCCTGGGGTCACTCTTACCCTTGTGAAAGCCGCTCAGGTAACTCCTTTCAGCCGTTTAACTACTAATTGGTAAGATTGATAACGTGCCTGTTTTATGCATTATCTTGTAAACCTTAATCTTCAGAAAAGTGCATCTTCTGTTGTTGTAACTCCTACCAAAATGTAAATTTTCAGGTTTTTGGAGACAAAGAATTTGTGCAAGCAGCTGTGGATGCAGGGGAGGTCGTATGGCAACGGGGTATGCTTAAACGAGTTGGCATCTGCCATGGTATCAGTGGAAACACCTATGTTTTTCTGGCACTCTACCGATTGACTGGCAATTCTGAGTACTTGTACAGGGCCAAAGCATTTGCTTGCTTTCTATTTGATAGAGCACAAAAATTGATTTCAGAAGGGAAAATGCATGGAGGTGATCGCCCCTATTCACAGTTTGAGGGTATCGGAGGAATGGCTTATCTTTTTCTGGATATGGTTGAACCGTCCACAGCTAGGTTCCCAGCTTATGAACTCTAATTTGCTTTCTGGGAAATTGGTGGTGAAGACATGTACAAAAATACCTGTTGTATACTAATTTTTTTTTTTTTTTTTTTTTTTTTTTTCCGTTATCTGGTGGAACATAACTAGTGTACTAAACCTCGAGTAAAATTCATAAATACTCAATAACTTGCATTGACATCCTTCTTTATACACTGAAAAAGGGTTTACAATTTTCAACTCTGCGAATATAATTTTTCAGTCAAAATCCAAAGGTGTTGAAGTACCTTTAAACACAATGAACATGAACATAATTGATGCTGTTTCCATTTCATTCCAAACACTGCGAAAGCAAGCTTGTATTTTGCAATAGGGGTGGGTGATTTTATTCTCGGTTTTAAATCACAAGTCATCTACATCTAAAGAGAAAAAAACTGTTTACAAAAAATCCAAATTCCGCAGCACACAATGGACCTTGAAGTCATCACCCTCTCCCATGGCAAAGATTAGTGGAACAGAACCTCGTAAGTTCCCAGTCAAGCTAAACCAACAAGTTTCTCACTGATCTCCCACACTTTGCGTGCTTTCTCTACATCACTAGCTTCTTGAGACAACTGATTCTCAAATGAAGCTGAGTCCTTGTTCCAGCTCCAGTAAACACCCGATTTTGTCAAGCTCGGGTCGCTCACGACCTGACAGAAGCAACCACTTAAGTTCATGCATGTTCATTTTGACGCAAAAATAGTATCTAAGTGTGGAACAAAAGTACAGATAATTGGTAAGTCTCTTTTTTTACCTGAGCAAGTCTTTTTCCGGCTTCATCTTCAGAGACAAAGCCCTTGGTGATGTACTTCTGGAATGGAGGGAAGAGAAGCCTGAACAAGGGAATGTGCTCCCTGAACAAGCCTGTTGTGGCAATACAACCAGGGTAAAGGGAAGCGAATGCAATTCCGGTTTCCTCATGGAAGCGCCTGTGGAACTCTTGCATTGTGAGCATGTTGCAGACTTTGCTGTCTTTGTAGGCCTTAGCACCATCAAATTCTCCGCCATCGATCATGGACGAGGTGTTTAGCCCATTTAAACCCCCAGCAAGTCCCCGCAAGTCCCCAAGGTTGGCCTTAGGAGGTACATTGCCAGCTAAGGTATTTGTGTTTCCTGATATAATTACAATTACAGTTAGTGCATCAATGTCTTAAATTTTTTATACTTCAATATATGTACATGCTTAACGTCCATGTGAATTAATACCTGTAATTGAGCCAACAATGATTAGGCGCTTTGATGGGTAATCAGATTGCTTCAAGTCATCAAGCAACAACCGTGAAAGGAGGAAGTGACCAAGATGGTTAGTTCCGACACTAAGCTCAAACCCTTCAGCAGTAAATGAAGGCTCTTTAGCAGTTGGCTGGTAAACAGCAGCGTTGCAAACCAGCACATCAAGTGGCCTGCCTGATCGCCTGAAGTTATCAACAAATTGGCGGACACTGTCAAGTGAAGCTAGATCCAAATGCATGATCGTGTAGTTTTCCTTAGCCATGCCAGCTGATTTGGCAGCTCTTTCAGCCTTGAGGAAGTCCCTGCAGGCCATAATTACATGCCATTTTCCAGTTTCAGCAAGTGCCTTAGCTGTGGCTAGACCCAATCCAGAGGAGGCGCCAGTGACCACAACACTGCCTTTTCTTAGAGTTTTCTTCCCCTGTGGAGTAGCTACATTGGCTGCTGGAGAGGCAGTAGCCGATGTTTGAGCTCTTACAGCGCCGATTCTTTGGTTGAATTCCCTCTGCAGTTTATTTCCATATACAAAACATCAGAATATGTAAAATCCATTCATCTTTACATAGTGGAGTCGATGTACAATCGCTCCACAAGATAAATTCCATAATTCCAGCATAATATAGAGCCTTTCCTCATTCATTTATTTATTTTCCTTTTGCAATAACTTTTTAAGTCAAGAAGCACTCAAGTGGAAATGAACCCAATACATGTAAAATCCACAGCTCTCAAAAAAAAGTTTCATGCCACAATTCAAATTCTTGCAGTTTCTAATTGCATGTCTAACTAATTTGTGCCTGTGATCTTGTAAAGAAAAGTTTTAGTGGTTCAACTGTCATTTTCTTTTCCATCAACATCATCTCACAAAAACTGAAATTACATGAACTCTGAAAATTACTTGTATTCGAACAGTTATCAACAGGTCCAACTTATTTCAGGGGCACAATTCAAACAAAAACAAACTGTTTTGTTGGTCCAATTTAAGGCAATTCACAACAACCAAGAAAAAAAGCCGAAAGGTACTGAATTTTGTGACTAGTATACTACCTTGCATCTCAATACAGAAGAGCTGAAGTCAGCTTTGGCATGATCTGAAAGTGAAACTCCAAAAAGGCTTGAGTCCTTGAAAGAAGCACCAGACTTTCCCTGCATGCAACAATTACACATACCAAAATGTCAACCCATTTCGTTCTTTTCTTTCTCCTTTTTCATAATAAAAGAAAGACGAAGCTCATCATTAAAACAAAGACTGAAAAACAAACCTCTTTGGGAAGAGAGAAAGCAGAGGCAACCAAAGAAGCAGCCTGGAGAGCCATTTGTTACCACTTTGAAAAAAGTGTTTCAATTTAATGCTTAAGGATATTTTCTGCTAACAGAGTCAGCTGAGAGCTTAGTACTGGTGTTCGTAGTAGTAGTGTTTGAAAGAGATATTAAGTGATGTATATATAGGAAGAAGCTGCATGGTTTATGACAATAAAGAGTATTGTCTTTGGATACGGGAGGCAGAGAGGATAAGATAATTAGCAGACCAAGTATCTGCCACATCAATTCTAGGCCACCAATGAGGTCTCAAGTTTTGGATTTCCAGATTTTTGATACTATATTTTATTGTTTTAGTATATGTTTGGTGGGGCTTGAGAGAGATATTTAGGTCCGATTCCCAAAATAGTTTTGGGTTGAGAGTATGAAATGTTGGAACGGATTAGAGAGTGACTGGGGAGATGGCATCTTCTGTCATGGATTAGGCCATTAGGGCCAAAACTCAATAGTGAGTTTTGGCAGCCTGGGCCCCTGGCTAAAGCTTTTATCTTTGCAGGTTTTCAAAAGATTTGGCAGATTTTTTTGTTTATTATTTTTTTTTTTTTACCGAGACTGTCCAGATCAGTTTACATGCATCTAAATTAATCTCCCAAGACCTTAGAATTATCAACCGAATAAGACTACCAGTGGCTACCCCTATTAGCAATTGAAAAATGACAACTTATAACCTCTTAAATAATACATCCAAAAATTTCTATCGAATCACTCGTTCACTCAAAGATATATTAATAGGTTAAATGAGTTTCCAAATTATGGTTCAAGATTCACCTAGAAATTATGCCTAAAATGTTTTTATACTTCACCCAAAACACTTCTACGAGCAAAGCAATATCAAACCCCAAATGTCCCTTGCTTGCTTCTTATACTTTTTTTATATCAATTTTCATTAGATGCCAATCACTCTGCATTTCGCTCATTCTTACACTAATTTTGGTGCCAACGGCCAAAGCACAAGTTCTCAAATTCTGGGTTACTCTTAACGTTTCTTCACAACAATACCAAGAAAAACAATATGAATATGGAAGACGTCAAAATTGCAGGCTTAAACCTTCAAATACAGTAATACAAATTACTATGATACATCAACAGCCTAGTTTTTTTTTCCCTACTTGTGGACTTAACGCGACTAACACCAATGAATCATAAAAGAATTTCATTTAAATTCAATAAGCTTTTGCCATGCTCATAACTCTACAATTCCCGACAGCAGAAATACATCGGTTTCTAAATTCACGGTGTAGTTTTTACTTTTTTTTTTCTTTTAACAAATCTATACTTTTCTCAATGCTCGATCGGAATGGCTATCCATCTGTTACCACTCCGATGACAAGCACAAAGAAAGAAGAAATGGAACTCGCTAATATTACAAATCTCACCCAATATCTCTCTGTACACATTTAACTACCAGGAAATGGCCAGCACTGATTATTATCATCTACCCATTTCCCCCACACCCAGCCTCCTGTCATATTTTTTTTTTTTTTCTTTTTGGTTTTTGTTTTTGTTTTTTCTTCCTGTTTTTGACCCCTTATATCCGAACCGGCAATCCAAAATTTTGAAAAGTTCTAATTTCACCTCGAAGGCCAGCGGTTACAATCACCATACCCCATGCTGACATGTTTGAACTTAAACCATTGGCGAAATCTACACTGGTACGAGGGCTCCGATTCCTAGCAGCCATATAAAGTTTTTCTTCTGGCCATGTAGCTGATATTCTATCAAAGAAGTAGCTGTTGGTTGCACTAGAAATGGTACCATTAAGTGGACTATTGGTGCAACCAGATGCAGATCGTGAACCCTCGTTACCACTAGTCTCCTCAACAGGTGTAGGAGGATGATTAGCCATGGAGAACTCATCAAGATTATTGTCAACCCCAGTTTGATCACCTGAATATGTATCTTGCAGTCCCCATATGTCACCCATGCCAGGCCAGGGAACGGCCACTGATACATCTTGACAATGGAAATGCTCATAAGAATGTGTTACAGTAACACCTTTGCTTCTGCTAGGTCGGGATTCAGCTTCATGTTTCCACACATATACATAAGAATCCTCACTAGCAGCTACCACATATCTTCCATTTGCTGTGAGGGAGGCACATATTTGGCTATTCGTGTTACGAAACCCTGTCACGGAAGGCATACCAACTCAATTGTGAAAATGGTCATGATGGAGACACATGTAGATATACCAAAAAGCAACTTGTTTTTGAGTACATATCGATTGAATATTGATAGCTAAAAAGAAATATGTTTCTCACAGAGCTATGTGATCCAGCAACACTCAAAACTCAAACTTCCAACATATATCCTACTGTGAAGGATTCAGAGATCCAATATCTACATAATAATCATTAAAATAAGATGTCAAGCAGAGCTGTCTAAAGTTGACCCACAGAAACAAAACTAGTCTACCCAACTCCGCATAGAAGGATCAAATTCTTACTGGAGTTACCCAAATATAAGTAATGGCATATGGGAAATGAAAAATCAACCCTGCATTATACTTATACTGAACTGCAAACGATGGAGAATCATTGGCATCAATTTTTGTGCCACCACTGGCAGCTTAATGAATCGGGTTTCAAAAGGGTGAAGTGTCATTCAAG